GTAACAATTCTGTGTCCCTCAGTAACAATTCTGTGTCTGTCCCTGAGTAACAATTCTGTGTCCCTGAGTAACAATTCTGTGTCCCTGAGTAACAATTCTGTGTCCCTCAGTAACAATTCTGTGTCCCTAAGTAACAATTCTGTGTCCCTCAGTAACAATTCTGTGTCTGTCCCTGAGTAACAATTCTGTGTCCCCTCAGTAACAATTCTGTGTCCCACAGTAACAATTCTGTGTCCCTCAGTAACAATTCTGTGTCTGTCCCTGAGTAACAATTCTGTGTCCCTCAGTAACAATTCTGTGTCTGTCCCTGAGTAACAATTCTGTGTCCCTCAGTAACAATTCTGTGTCCCTCAGTAACAATTCTGTGTCCCTCAGTAACAATTCTGTGTCCCTCAGTAACAATTCTGTGTCTGTCCCTGAGTAACAATTCTGTGTCCCCCCTGAGTAACAATTCTGTGTCCCTCAGTAACAATTCTGTGTCCCTCAGTAACAATTCTGTGTCCCTGAGTAACAATTCTGTGTCCCTGAGTAACAATTCTGTGTCCCTGAGTAACAATTCTGTGTCCCTCAGTAACAATTCTGTGTCCCTCAGTAACAATCTGTGTCCCTGAGTAACAATTCTGTGTCCCTCATGAGTAACAATTCTGTGTCCCTCAGTAACAATTCTGTGTCCCTGAGTAACAATTCTGTGTCCCCTCAGTAACAATTCTGTGTCCCTCAGTAACAATTCTGTGTCTGTCCCTGAGTAACAATTCTGTGTCCCTCAGTAACAATTCTGTGTCCCTCAGTAACAATTCTGTGTCTGTCCCTGAGTAACAATTCTGTGTCCCTGAGTAACAATTCTGTGTCCCTCAGTAACAATTCTGTGTCCCTCAGTAACAATTCTGTGTCTGTCCCTGAGTAACAATTCTGTGTCCCTCAGTAACAATTCTGTGTCCCTCAGTAACAATTCTGTGTCTGTCCCTGAGTAACAATTCTGTGTCCCTGAGTAACAATTCTGTGTCCTCCCTGAAACAAATTCTGTGTCCCTGAGTAACAATTCTGTGTCCCCTCAGTAACAATTCTGTGTCCCTCAGTAACAATTCTGTGTCCCCTGAGTAACAATTCTGTGTCCCTCAGTAACAATTCTGTGTCCCTCAGTAACAATTCTGTGTCCCTGAGTAACAATTCTGTGTCCCTGTCCCTGAGTAACAATTCTGTGTCCCTCAGTAACAATTCTGTGTCCCCCTGAGTAACAATTCTGTGTCCCTGAGTAACAATTCTGTGTCCCTCAGTAACAATTCTGTGTCTGTCCCTGAGTAACAATTCTGTGTCCCTCAGTAACAATTCTGTGTCCCTCAGTAACAATTCTGTGTCCCTCAGTAACAATTCTGTGTCTGTCCCTGAGTAACAATTCTGTGTCCCCTGAGTAACAATTCTGTGTCCCTCAGTAACAATTCTGTGTCCCTCAGTAACAATTCTGTGTCCCTCAGTAACAATTCTGTGTCCCTCAGTAACAATTCTGTGTCCCCTGAGTAACAATTCTGTGTCCCTCAGTAACAATTCTGTGTCCCTCAGTAACAATTCTGTGTCTGTCCCTGAGTAACAATTCTGTGTCCCTCAGTAACAATTCTGTGTCTGTCCCTGAGTAACAATTCTGTGTCCCTCAGTAACAATTCTGTGTCTGTCCCTGAGTAACAATTCTGTGTCCCTCAGTAACAATTCTGTGTCTGTCCCTGAGTAACAATTCTGTGTCCCCCAGTAACAATTCTGTGTCCCTCAGTAACAATTCTGTGTCCCCAGTAACAATTCTGTGTCCCCTGAGTAAACAATTCTGTGTCCCTGAGTAACAATTCTGTGTCCCTCAGTAACAATTCTGTGTCCCTCAGTAACAATTCTGTGTCCCCTGAGTAACAATTCTGTGTCCCCCTCAGTAACAATTCTGTGTCCCTCAGTAACAATTCTGTGTCCCTCCCTGAGTAACAATTCTGTGTCCCTCAGTAACAATTCTGTGTCCCTCAGTAACAAATTCTGTGTCTGTCCCTGAGTAACAATTCTGTGTCCCTGAGTAACAATTCTGTGTCCCTCAGTAACAATTCTGTGTCCCTCAGTAACAATTCTGTGTCCCTCAGTAACAATTCTGTGTCTGTCCCCCTGAGTAACAATTCTGTGTCCCTCAGTAACAATTCTGTGTCCCTCAGTAACAATTCTGTGTCTGTCCCTGAGTAACAATTCTGTGTCCCTGAGTAACAATTCTGTGTCCCTGAGTAACAATTCTGTGTCCCTCAGTAACAATTCTGTGTCCCTCAGTAACAATTCTGTGTCTGTCCCTGAGTAACAATTCTGTGTCCCTCAGTAACAATTCTGTGTCCCTCAGTAACAATTCTGTGTCTGTCCCTGAGTAACAATTCTGTGTCCCTGAGTAACAATTCTGTGTCCCTGAGTAACAATTCTGTGTCCCCTCAGTAACAATTCTGTGTCCCCCTCAGTAACAATTCTGTGTCTGTCCCTGAGTAACAATTCTGTGTCCCTGAGTAACAATTCTGTGTCCCTCAGTAACAATTCTGTGTCCCTCAGTAACAATTCTGTGTCTGTCCCTGAGTAACAATTCTGTGTCTGTCCCTCAGTAACAATTCTGTGTCCCTCAGTAACAATTCTGTGTCTGTCCCTGAGTAACAATTCTGTGTCCCTCAGTAACAATTCTGTGTCCCTCAGTAACAATTCTGTGTCCCTCAGTAACAATTCTGTGTCTGTCCCTGAGTAACAAATTCTGTGTCCCTGAGTAACAATTCTGTGTCCCTCAGTAACAATTCTGTGTCCCTCAGTAACAATTCTGTGTCCCTCAGTAACAATTCTGTGTCTGTCCCTGAGTAACAATTCTGTGTCCCCTGAGTAACAATTCTGTGTCCCTCAGTAACAATTCTGTGTCCCTCAGTAACAATTCTGTGTCCCTCAGAGTAACAATTCTGTGTCTGTCCCTGAGTAACAATTCTGTGTCCCCTCAGTAACAATTCTGTGTCCCTCAGTAACAATTCTGTGTCCCTCAGTAACAATTCTGTGTCTGTCCCTGAGTAACAATTCTGTGTCCCTGAGTAACAATTCTGTGTCCCTCAGTAACAATTCTGTGTCCCTCAGTAACAATTCTGTGTCCCTCAGTAACAATTCTGTGTCTGTCCCTGAGTAACAATTCTGTGTCCCTCAGTAACAATTCTGTGTCCCTCAGTAACAATTCTGTGTCCCTGTCCCTGTAACAATTCTGTGTCCCTCAGTAACAATTCTGTGTCCCTCAGTAACAATTCTGTGTCCCTCAGTAACAATTCTGTGTCTGTCCCTCAGTAACAATTCTGTGTCTGTCCCTGAGTAACAATTCTGTGTCTGTCCCTGAGTAACAATTCTGTGTCCCTAAGTAACGGTTCTGTGTCCCTAAGTAACGGTTCTGTGTCCCTAAGTAACGGTTCTGTGTCCCTAAGTAACGATTGTGTGTCCCTAAGTAACGGTTCTGTGTCCCTAAGTAACGGTTCTGTGTCCCTAAGTAACGTTCTGTGTCCCTAAGTAACGATTCTGTGTCCCTAATACAGAGAGATCTGTCTGTCTCTTGAATGACCAGAGGCAAATGGAGAATTGTAAGATGGCCGCAATTTATAGCTCCACCATTACACAGTGCTGGCTGGCTGGCTGCTGATTGGCTAATGCGATCACATGTCATGAATGAATGCATTATGGGTCAGCGCGCCTTGTCTGCGCGCCTTCCCAGAGATCCCCGCTCCGTCGCCGCACATGTCGCCGCCATTTTTGGAAAAATTTCGATTCGCGCATCCGAAGTCTGCTAATTTTCGGATTCGGCGCAAATCGAAAATTTCCTAATATTCGAAACGAATTCCACTTCGCCGAGTTCGATTCGCTCATTTCTACCGGTCACCCTCCAATAGCTCGGTGATGAGAGTCGCTTTGGATTTATTACTGGCGACTTTTTCACGGATTCCAGGAGATCCGTCAGGTGCTGCGCTTGAGGCTGGTGTAGAGATGTTCCATCTGCTGTAGGTGAAGAGGATACTGGTGGTGGTTTGGAACTGTTCCATAGGGAGGAAGCAAATCCCACCGCTTGCCATCAAATGTGACAGAACGCCTGTCACCAACATTGGATGATTCCATCAGAGAACCACTTCCTCGCCACTGGGACATAGGACCAAGGTATTATAGCTGGGCATTGCACCCAAGACTAGACGAGACTAGCTTAGATACCAAACTGGAACTCTTTATCGAACAGAAATACAGTTTTGACACTCCTGAAATAGGGCAGTGCCCCCACATGGACAATAAAACAAATATTACACATATTAAACATCCCACACTGATTAGGTAAGAGCTTGATCATATTATCCTAATGAGTACAGACAACAACTAACAGTGATCTAATTAACAGTAAGCTAATCAGCAGCCAGGCACCCAGATCAGCCTTGATTAGTCATGGAGCCCACCAAGACAGGACAGAGCCTACATAGGAGTACATGGAACAGAAACCAATGTGACCAGCTCCTTTAACCACTTCAAGTCCGAACACTTTTACCCACTTCCTGTCCAGGCCAATTTTCAGCTTTCAGTGCTATCACAGTTTGAATGACTATTGCGCGGTCATGCAACACTATATCCATATACATTGTTTAGCATTTTTTTGAGACAGATAAAACTTTATTTTAGTGGTATTTATTCACCACTGGGGTTTTTTATTTTTTTTTTTGCTATATAAATGAAAAAGTTTGAAAAAAAAGTGTTTTTCTTATATAACATTTTGCATATAAATAATCTTTCTTCATAAATCTTGGCCAAAATTTATTCGGTTATCTTTTTAGTAAAAAAAAAAAAAAAAAACCCAAATTAGTTTATAACCAAAAATTCTAATTAAAAATTTTTTTTTTAATATTATTTATGATTTTTTTTTTTAACATACTGTCACCCTAGCAGTACAGTGTCACCATAGTGACACTGTACTACTTGTGGGGGGGTTCATGAAGATTTTTTTTTCTTTTTACACTGATTGCTTTTACACCCATAAAGGCTGTAAAAGCAATCATTTCTCCTTCTCTCTGGCTGCATTCTTGCAGTTATTGAGAAATACTGTGAGAGCTGTGATTGGTCACAGCTTGTCACATGGTGCAAGGTGTCACAATCATGCACACAGGGAGAGGTGCAGTTCTCCATTTTGCTCCAAACTTCTGCATTTTGGTATTTTTCTTAAACTAATATGCAGTCACCTGAAGGGGAGTGGGAGGTATAGCAGGCATGGACCCAGAGGCAGGCATGGATCTCACTGTGTGAAGAAGTCTTAATGTTATCCCCTCATTCCCCCTCCCTCAGGAATGCAACCAGCATATGATACTGAGCCCCTGCCTAACACTTCTTTGCCAAATAAGGCTTGGCTTGTCCGTTGTGGGAAGAGATGCCCCGTTGATTTTGAGTAGAAAAAAGAAGCTGTTATGTTTTGTGTGTAGTCAGAGAAGTGAGGACATTCAGCGTTTTACCATCTAGCAAACTGAGAGCAAAGGAGAATCGCGCTGTACCAATGAAACAGAGTGCGAGACCAGAAATCCCTTTTTAGCTCATCAGACTTGAAACTGCTTAACCCCAGGCATTTATTTGGTAAGTACTTATTTACCTAAACTTCTTTCTGTTATCTGTTTGCTGTGCTGTTGTGCTCAGTATATATATATATATATATATATATATATTTGGTTACATCTTCATCTTCTTTCTGTAAATATTTTTACTGCACCCCTGTCACGATCGCGGCGTCAGACCCCAGACCTTCTCACCAAACTCATGACCGAAGGACTGGCCGATCCAAACCGTAATGTGACGTGCATAACAATACCACGCCCAGCCGCACCCTGCACAAAGATTTTCCAGCTAATGGACCACAATCTATGTACCTACGACCTGAGCGATTGTTACTGGGTCAGGTTAATTACGTAATTAACCCCTTCACACTGCCACCACCTCCTTTTTGTACAGAGAAAGAGGAAACTCGCAATATCGCTATAACACTATATTAATTGAAATAATCGTCCGCATAACCCGGTCATTGACACAGGCCGACTATGCAGAGAGTTAAACAGTAGCGTCTCTTTAAAGGCAGGGATTCCTAAATTGCAATTAAGAGTTATAGAAATGGTTCAACACTTTCAGAAAGAGAGATTTATTACTAAAAGGGTCAAACAGGTGCAATAAAAATATTTACAGAGAAGATGTAACTAAGATATATATATATATATATATATACATACATATACAGGAATCAGCATAGCACAACAAAGAGATAACAGAGAGAAGTTAAAGGGTTAAGTTACTTGCCAGTAAGCCTTTGATGTAAGCAGATCCAAGTTTTTTAGAGCAGAATGGTGCTTTGATCTCCCGCTGTTACGATGGAGAGATGGGAGATGTCTTCAATTCTCCCTTCGTTAGGCTTGACAGCCTGTTTTATAGTTTCCCAGCAGGGGGTGGTTCTGAAGTAACAAACCAATCCCTTGTGCAGGGAGGGGTCGGCAGGCGGGACCCTAAACTAGGACCAACATCTTTCATAATTCATATCCTGTTCCATAACATTACAGCTACCCGCAGTTATTTTATTATGCAGATAAGCCTGAGGATTATTTAGATATGAATTATGAAATTATATGTGGCACGGTTCGTGAGTTCTATGTTCCGGCTTCCCTGATGGCCTGAGATAAATGAGTGACCCATCAAACAGTTCGTCTGCTCATTGGTCATCTGACAAGGGGTCCGGTTTTTATGTAGGTCTCTCATATTCCAAGATATGAGACATAGGGGAAAAATTGATTTGAGAAGTGTTCATCTAATTCTGTCACCTATGCTGTGCTAGGTTTATCAGGTCAGCATTTCTTTCAACTTCTGGGAAGGCTCGTTATCTGTTTTACGATGTGTGAAACTACACAGGTTCTCAGGACAGTGGGACTCTAGCTCTCTTGGGAAAGCTGGCCTTATCTTGCCTAGGTGATAAAGGTTACAGCTTCACAGACCACTTGGCACCTAGCTTGGCCGGCCAGTGACCCATAAACAGTACACACACACACTGGCCAAAATGTCTCTCTCAGTGAGAGGGAGGGGTAGGAGAGAAATGGATACCATTAGCAAGATGGAGTCTGAAACCAAAATGGTTGAACCGTGTCCATCTCGGATGCGCGCGTTTGCAACACACCCTTTCGACCGTTTGGTAATAAATCTTACTTTCTAAAAGTGTTGAACTGTTTCTATAGCTCCTGAATGTAACTTATACGAATCCCTGGCGCTGGAGTGCGCTACTATGAATATTTAACCCTCTGTATAACCGGTCTGTATAGATAGCAGGATACTGACGGTTAACAAATCATCCTAGTGTATTGCTGAGTTTCCTCTTTCTCTGTATAAAAAAGAGGCGGTGGCAGTGTGAAGGGTTAATTGCGTAATTAACCTGACCCAGTAACAATCTCATTCAGGCTGCCGGTACGTCAATTGTGGTCCAATTAGCTGAAAAATCGGTATGCAGGGTGCAGCTGGGTGTGACATTGTTACGCACGTGACATCGCAGTTTTAGATTGGCTAGTCCTTCGGTCACGAGTTTGGTGAGAAGGGCTGTTGTGAATAGCCTTATACCATGTGATCTCTGTGATCATTCACAGATTTCACACATAGTAAACAATGTGGTCAGGAAGTGACATCTTGCTTAATACTATTCATGTGATCACTGATTGGCCAATCATTGATTACATGATCGGGACCTCACACACCTCCCAACACAGCGGGCACCGGATCGTGGTGCTGCGTGCTCCCAGGGAGCGCGCACAGCTTTAAAATGAAGGCGCCATTTATGAACGTCAACCCACTCCTGCACTGCTCCTGTCTGGCCGTTTATATACATGGGCCAGATGGGAAGTGGTTAATGAACATGTATAATTTCAAATAAAACAAACCAGGAATAGACTTTAGGACAGATACAAGAAAAACAGTCCTTCAAAAAAAAATGGCACAGAAAGGGAAATATAACAATAACAAATAAGAGGGTGAATGTGGGCAGAGAAGGTCCCTGCAGCCAGTGTCCATGACACCCAAAACCAACAACACTCATGCAGCCCCATAGAAGGACACTGCCACCACCATGTTTCACTATAGGCACCATGCATTTTTCTTTGTAGTCCTCACCTTTGTGACACCATACAGTTTTGAAGCCATCAGTTCCAAAAACATTTATCTTGGTCGCATCACTACAGAGTACAGAGTCCCAGTAGTCTTCTTCTTTTTCAGCATGGGCCCTGGCAAATTCTAGGCAGGCTTTTTTGCACATGGACTTTAGGAGAGGCTTCCATTGTGGACAACACCCCTGCATGCCATTCCTCTGCAGTGTACGCCATATTGTGTCATGGGAAACAATCCCCCTAGTTTGGCTTTCTCCTTCTTTAGATAACTGCAGAACCCTTCTTAGCAGAAGACACTCCTGTCGAGGTGTTAACTTCCATGGCTGGCCTAGACATCTCTGTGGGATGATTGCAGTTTCATCTTTGTTAAATTTTTGTATCACTTTTGCTACAGTATTCTAATAAGTAAAGCTTTGCTGATCTTCTTGTAGCCTTCACCTTTCTTGTGTAAATAAATTATTTTCTTTCTGAGGCCTTGTAACATTTCTCTTCCATGTGCCATTGCTGACAGCATGAAATGGGAAGGGGTTTTCTTTGAGTAATGCCCTTTTTTAATCAACTATCTGCTGGACACCTGTTTAATGAATAATTAGACTCAACTGTAGTTGAATTCTTTTTAATTAGGATTTTGTTGTCTGAAATTTAACTATGCTTCTAAGGCTTTCATTGGGGTGTATTCATTTTTTGTGTGTGCAAATTAGCAAATTTTGTTTGCAATCAATGGCATCCATTTGTGGGAGTATTTTGTAGTATAGTGCTCCATAGAAAATATTGATTCTGAAAGAAAAGTAAAGTTTTCTGACAAATCTGTTGGGGTGTCCTCATTTTATATGTACACTATATTACCAAAAGTATTAGGACACCTGCCTTTACACACACATGAACTTTAATGGCATCCCAGTCTTAGTCAGTAGGGTTCAATATTGAGTTGGCCCACCCTTTGTAGCTATAACTGCTTCAACTCTTCTGAACGGCTGTCCACAAGGTTTAGGAGTGTGTCTATGGGAATGTTTGACCATTCTTTCAGAAGTGCATTTTTGAGGTCAGGCACTGATGTCGGATGAGAAGGCCTGGCTTAGGCTGGCCATACACTATACAATTTTCTGTCCAAATTATGCCCAATTTCCTTTAGATTTACCTTCAACTATGTAGTGCAAGAGCCTGCCTAATTGGATACAATTGAAAGTGTTGTTAGGTTTGACCTCCTATTATATGGTTTTTGGTAAATCTAAACCAAAAATCTCAAGAAAATTGTATCATGTATGGCCAGCCTTACAGTTTCCGCACCAATTCATCCCAAAGGTGCTTTATCGGGTTGATAACAGGCCAGTCAAGTTCCTCCACCCCAAACTTGCTCATCCATGTCTTTTTGGACCTTGCTTCGTGCACAGTAATGTTGGAACAGGAAGAGGCCATCCCCAAATTGTTCCCACAAAGTTGGTAAAATGAAATTGTCCAAAATGTCTTGGCATGCTGACGCCTTAAGAGTTCACTTCACTGGAACTAAGGGACCAAGCCCAACAATTAAAAAACAACCCCACATCATAATCCCCCCTCCACCAAACTTTATACTTGTCACAATGCAGTCAGATAAGTGCTGTTCTCCTGGCAACTGCCAAACTCAGACACATCCATCCGATTGCCAGACAGAGAAGCGTGATTTGTCACTCCAGAGAACACGTCTCCACTGCTCTAGAGTTCAGTGGTGGCATGCTTTACACCACTGCATCCGTCACTTTGCATTGCACTTAATGATGTAAGGCTTGGATGCAGCTGCTCAGCCATGGAAACTTCATTGCATGAAGCTCTCTATACACTGTTGTTGTGCTAATCTGAAGGCCACATGAAGTTTGGAAGCTTTAGCTATTGACTCTGCAGATAGTTGGTGACTTCTGTTCACTGTGTGCTTCAGCATTCACTGACCTCAGTCTGTAATTTTACATGGCTTATCACTTTGTGGCCGAGTTGTTGTTGTTGTTCCCAGTTGCTTCCACTTTGGTATAATACTACTAACAGTTGACCATGGAATATTTAGTAGCAAGGAACTTCCTTGGATGGACTTATTGCACAGGTGGCAACCTATCACGGTACCACACTTGAATTCACACTGAGCTCCTGAGAGCAACCCATTCTTTCACAAATGTTTGTAGAAGCAGTCTGCATACCTAGGTGCTTGATTTTATACATCTGTGGCCATGGGGGTGATTGGAACACTTCAATCCAATGATTTGGAGGGGTGCCCCAATACTTTTGGCAATATAGTGTATGTAATGTATATGTTCTACAGAACAAGACACTTTAATGTAAAAGCAGTTTTTATTTACTGTGCCTATAATAAATTAGCAAGAAATAGAATGCGAAAGGCACTAAGGGAAAAAGCATAGGTGATTTGTATATGTCATTGTGAATGATGGTAGACAATTTAGACAGCTGACAAGACACCAAGTAATAAAATGTCATGCGTAAAACTAGACAACCTCAAGGCAAAAATGTTTTTATAAATATAGGTCATTGAATGACAGAAAGTAAACTTGAATCATATATAAATAACCTGGAAATACATGAAGATAAATTACTGACACGAACAAGAGAGCATAGTGTCTCAGAAAACTTTAAAAACACAAGGCTGCCCATCCTATAAGAAATATTTAAATTCAAGGTTAGAACCTTATATGTAATGCTTGATTAACAGAATACCACAAAGTGGTATATTTAGGTTTTGTACTGCCCTAGGCAACACAAAAATCCCCCCCTTCCCCGCAGAGAGAGCTTGACATTGATTGATCAACAAGCTTACACTCCCACCTCCCCCCATACACTGGCAAACCACCCCCCTGTGCTAGAGAGAAAGACACTCACCTTCCCAGCTCCGGGAACAAGAGTCAGGCTCTGAACACACCATCAAGCAGCCCGCAGCCTCTCTTGGATCCCACCTGCTCCCCATGCTGCGTGTGTCCCTTCTTTTGGGTGGTGGTGCTGCCCCCCTTAAAAATGCCACCCTAGGCAAATGCCTTGTAGTAAATGCGCCCCTGCTTCTCCCCATTTTGGCTTCAGATATACTAAAACAGTGCTTAAATTTTCAAGTCCTGAGCTTCTAGCCAGGCTTTAGAGTTACCCGCCACCAACAAACACACACAAATAGAGACACCTAGACACACACACACATATACACAGAAACATGTACACACACGCACAGAGACACATGTACACACATGCACATACAGACACATGTATACACACACAGGCACGTACAGACACGCATACACACAGATACATGTACATACACAGAAATACGCATGCACAGACACATGGACATACACACAGACACATGTACATACATACACAGACACATGCACAGATATACACATGCACATACACACAGACACATGTACAATTGTACATGCATACACAGACACACACAAACACCCCCCCCCCCCCCCATAAAAAGTTGCAGTATTTTGTTGTTCACTCACAGATCTGGGTACTGCACTCTAGGGGGAGGCAGAGAGCACAGCACACACTCCTTGCTTTGCTTTCACTGCGCTCAGCTATTGAGCAGTCTGACGGCTCCCAGTGCCAATGACAGATCCGGCCTGATCTCCAAACCTGCTCAGCAAGACGGCCCTGGGGGACACACTTGCCCCCACCATAATTTCCACTCGCCATTGGCGAGCAGGATTCTTAGGGGATGTTTGCCTATTTTTGTAAACTGTTCCAGTTTGAAGGATTTTTAAATAAAAAAAGGCATAATAGTATAGACTACAGTTTTCTTTTATACATACATACACACATAGTGAAGTAAATGGTACAGATAGTGCTCATTAGCTGGATAATTCACAGTCCAGGGTTCTTAGTTGTGGGAAGCAACAGGAGGCAGTATAAGGATTGTTGGAGACTACATCAAGGCAGTTACAGGTGTGGGTGCTTTCAATCCATTACAAGCTAAGCCCTGATCCTGATGGCAGAGCAGAACTCAGCAGAGATAACAGGTTAATGCTCTGGCCTGATCAAAATTTCATGGAGTAACACTCATGACCAGGGCACAGTACCCTAAGCACTAATTTCTCTGTTACCTGAGAACCTCCCGGGTGGAATCGTTAGAGGATTCAGTGACTGTGTTCTCTCCAAGAAGCAAAATACTGTACTCAGGTCAATTTGACTGGCATGACCTGTGAGTATCTGCAAGTGCAGTGGCAATTTGCTCTACCCTGTGAAACAATAATGGACTAGCTAAGTGATATATTACGACTGATACCTTTCTGTCCTGTTATGCTAACCTTACTATTTCATACCTAATGTGTGTGCTGATGTGCACATAACACAGTGCTTGCTTTTTTTTTTTTCAGCACACACCGACTGCATTGGTGTGAACTAAAGTGATAGGACGTTAGGGAAATTACCTTGTCTATGCATTGGGACTGTGTTGGGCAATGCTGCCCAATTATGCTAGTGCAAACAAGCACCTAAAAATCAAATCTTGCAAGTATATTTTAGAAATGATTGCTGAAGGGTGTTAAATTTTTTATTTATTTCCTGTACTTATATAGCGCTGTCAATTTACGCAGCACTTTACATATATATTGTACATTCACATCAGTTCCTAACCCTCA